GGGCAATTTTGTCAAACCTGGCGTTTGGGGTTATCCCACAAAGTTAACTCTTTAAGTTTTTCCTTCTCGTGGTGGAGGGCGTTAGATCACAGGAGGATATGATCCTCTCTACTCTTCGCATACAAAAGAGAGATCAGAAGGGCTACTTCAGGTTTCCACGTTGCAGGGGTTGTTGCAAGTCTAGTTGGAAATCAAACTTTGGTCGAGAGTTCCTATTTATATATATATATATGTATAGTGCTGTATAAACATACATTTTTCTATACATAGAGCATAAAAAAGAGCATTATTGTAATGCTTATAAATGTGAAGGCCGATAGGACTTGAATTTTCATTATGCTTTAAAACAACAGGGTTTACAAGCTAAGTTTTATCCTGTTAGTGCTCCCACCTTCAGTTTAACCCCTGGCGGTGGGACTGAGATCCGAGGAGCTGTTACGTGTGTGGGAATCTAGGACGTTATTTCAAGAAGGCAATGCCCGGGTATGGGTTGATTGTTAATTAGCACAACTTTGGGTTATCCCAGTTGTTTGCCGTGCTAGCACGCTGACATACTGCCCGGAGCAAGTCTTTTAAAGGTGGGCTGGCGGCAGAGCCTTACGGTAGAGTCAGGTCAGCCTTTGAAATCTTGTTTGCTACGTTTTCCGTGTGCACTATAAGTGTATGTGCAGGTACAGCTTATGTGTGGCTGTCATATGCTTTTATTCTTTAGAGAGAGGGATCCACGAGCTGAAACAATCTTCTAGCTACAGTTAAGGGCTCTTCTACTCATTGAGTTTCGTGCCCAGGAGATTCTGGGATTAACAAGGGAGTCTTGGTAGATGCATGTGAGGAAGGTGTGTCTGTTCAAAAGCTACTTCAGGAGAATTTGAGAAATGGCAAACGGGAGAGACAGGAAAACCATTTTGGGTAGCGTACAAGTTTCCGTGGATGTGAATCTGAGCCATCAGCTACTATAGCTGTAGCATGCCTTGAGAAACAGCATCTGGGAACTTTTGATTTTATTCTTTTTCAAAGAAAAAAATAATCTTTAGTTTTCAAAATGACTGGAAATTCCCTATATCAAGCTCTCCATCTTTTTTTTTTTTTTTTGTCTTGTATACTCCAATAGTGTGGGTAGGTAAACACATTCAAGTATTTTTTTTTAATTTTTTTTTTTTGCCTACAACTTGTTTGCTGTTTTCTGCAACAATGCTTTGGTAATTGCGAGTCTGTTAGGCTCTCTGTAACCCTGCAGTGTTTCCTCACTAAGTGGGTAACTGATGTGGCCAGATTTCTGTCTTTTTGTGAAGGAATCTGCATGCTGCAGGGAACATATTTTTCTCACAGAAGTAGCCTTCAAGTGAAGATCCTGTGGTGAAACCCAGTTCTTTTAAACATTTGTTAAACTTGTATCTCTTGCTTTTATTTTTATATGTATCTTTTACTGTTTCATCTGTCCACACAGTCTGCATTTCCCAGGTATTTAAGCTCTGAAACCTCTGAGGTTGTGGCCTGTTACTGAAACTATTTTGTTTTTATACTGTTTACGTTTCTGAAAATACAAGTTTTTAATCTTTGGCTGCTCTTGTAACTATCACATTGTTCAAGTGTAATATTTAGCCCAATGGGCCGGCAACGTTGGCCCTCCAGTCACACCCTGTAAGGCGAGACTGGCTCAAGTTTTGTCCTCTGCCCTGCCAGAACCAGGATTATCTCCCAGTCAGCTGTTAACACTGCCTCCGTTCCACAGGAGGTGTAAAATAAGAGTTGTCAATGGGCCTCACTCCAATTTCTTTTACTTCAGCCAAAACCATGAGGTCTGCTCCCCTCCCAGCTCCAGCTGACATATCTTAAAGAGCAAGAATGTTCTTTCCTCTGAACCGTGCTGTACAAAAGCTTTGAATAAGGTGTTACAGGAAAAGTGAAGTTCGAACCGATGGTATTTTGAACAGTTTGGGGTTTTTTTTTGTCAAAAGTTGCTGACTTTGCTTAGGATCATGTGTTTGAGAAAGTTATATTCTGCAAAATCTGAAATAAACTACGTTGGAACAGAGAGGTGTTTGGAAGTAACGAGCTATGATAGTAAGGGAATGTGATTAGAGATGCCTCCATGGTCTGAGTCTTGTTTGAAAATCTGGTTTCCAACCTGTGACCAATAATGAATGTGGGTTTTTCCCCACCTCCCCCATTAACTTCTGTTATAACTACGTGCCAGTATTTTTCTGTATTAAACCAATTCGATGTGGTACAAAATGTCTTAACTTTTGCGACCGCTTTGAAGTTCGACACCTGGGCAGAGACTTCTCTTGTGACACTTGAGGGTTACAGCTGTTAAGTTACCTATTCAGGAGAAAGAAAAACAACAAAAAGAAAACGTTGCTAAGAATATTTTTTTTTTCTAATATTCTATGTTGCGAATGATGCCTACTTTAATAAAATCCTGTGCAGCTGTATCCTGGTTTTGTCATCCTTGTTCAGGACATGTCAAAGCAGTTGTGAAGGATGCGGGTTTGTGCCTCAGGCCTTTTCTGCTGCAGAAGTGATGCGTGATTTGAGGCAGCAGAGAAAAATACAGCCCCCTCCCATTCTGTGCAGGGACCCAAATATTTGTGTTTCGACTTTCTGCTGACTGTTCCGGTCACTCACAGGCATTTGCAGCCTGGTTACTCTTCGATCTTCAGCGAGCTGCTTGGCAGGTGTGCTAGCAGGTGGCCACTGTCGCAAAAATGCTGGGTTTCAAGTATTCCTCTGACATGCTGCGATTTCTTTAGCCTTTTTCTCATGTCGAGAAGGCGGTTGGCCTGCTTTCAGCCGTGTTTCTGCCTCTCTTTACATCTGTGCAGCTTTCAAACAGCAAGAAAAGAGCGATGGTGTTTGGGGTGGGGAGGAGCTTTAACTAACTCGTGCCAAAAATGAAAGGTTGTAGGGTCCTTCGTTCCGCTTCTGTGCAGGTCTTGTCTTGTTGCTCAGCCAGTAGTGGGAGAGGTTTGTGCAGACTCATGAGTGTGCCCCTCCCTGCCTCGTTAGTCAGTGAATAAACATCCCCTTCAGGTTAAACAAGGCCTTTCCTTCCTCCTCCACCCCAACTTTCTCACAATGGGAACTTCTCACAGAGGAAGCACTTCACTGGACCACGGTTTAGTGACTAAGGCGACCATCATGTTTCTTGCGCAACAGGTGAGGGTGTTACAGCACCGCTCTCTTTCCAGCTACTTGGATAATTACTTTCGCTCTTGTTTACACATGTTTAACCTGGCTTCTGTAAGAGTTATGGGTGCTTCACCCAAAGCTGCTCTAGCTGAGGAGATCACTATTACCTTGAAGGTCGCCTGGGACCTTCAAAAACAACTACTCCGCTTGTCCCATTTGCCCTCCATCCTGTTCTTCAGAATATTTGCCCCTGTAAATCAGATTGGCGCTGCAAACCCAAAAACCTCCGAACTTTTTTGCTTTTAATGCTCGGAATTACTTCTCGCTGGCTTGCCTTGGGGTCAGGGATTGGCTTTGGCATCCTCGCTTGGCTGCTCGTGCATAAGAGGAAAGGCAAAGAGCTGCTCGTGCCACCATTTTCGGTAGGATTAGGCAAAAAAAAAAAAGCTTTAAAGGAAGGAGCTCTCCTCCTCGAGGTTGGAGTGCTGCTGGGAATTGTTTCCACAATTCTGAAGTCGATACTGAGCTACATGGCTCTGTGGCAACGCACTATGAACACCCTGACTGCTGAATTTGAAACGGGGCCCCTGTCACCGTGAAAGTCACCACCCAAGCCTGGGAGAGAAATGCAAATTCTGCCTGGGTCTGGCTCCGATTGCACCGTGTCTAGTGGTGGACTAAACGGTTGGGTTGGACCCGATCTTAAAGGTCTTTTCCGACTTAAATGGCTCAATGATTAATTCCTGAGATGCTAAAACTTAATCCTTTTGTGTCAGCCCACACAGATGCAGCTGCTTTCCGCTCTTAACATCAGGGAGAGGTGGAGAAGAGGAAGAACCTTCTTCTCTTGGTCATTAACCCCCCTCATGACACCTGGTGCTTCGGGCAGGCGCAGGGGTTTTCCAGAATCACCGGGGTTGTTTCTATTTTAGGTGACCGTTAGCTGGCGTTACGAAACCTTTGCTCTTTTCTTGGAGACTCAGGCCAGCTGTTAAGGCTATTTTCAGCTTCGCACAGTAATTGTACGTGATCCTAAATTCGCCGCGGCTTTTGCGTGCCTGTGCCAGCCTGGGGCTGAGGGGTGTGCTGGGGAGGTGAGCGCAGGTGTATCTGCTGGGTGGCCACAAAACCCCTTCCTGGGTGCTTCATTTATATCGCACAGGGGTGGCTGTGATGGTGCCAGGCAGGGCCAGCTTCTGGAACAAAACTGGGTGTTTCGAGATGACTGTAACTCCCCACAGCAGCCAGGAGAGCTGGCACACTTGGGTGGCTTTCGTCAGCGGAGACATTTGTGCTTCAGCAAGCACCAACGTGGAACCCAAATCTACAATGGGCGTTGCTCAGCCAGAAGAGAAATTTGCTACTGCACCCAATACTGCGATTTGGAGCAATTTAGGGTGTTTTCCTGCAAGCTGGCAGTGACTGTCTGTGCGGTTTTGAGGATTCAAGCCAACACTTTGGTGAAACCAAGATCCGGTTCATCGCTGGAGTGGTTGTCCTGTACAACCACCACCCATCCTGACGCAGGGGTTGCTTCTCCGTGTTCAAGATCTTCCAGTAGATGTATTTTCTGTAGTCCTCTGCGAACTGAAGTTCCTGAGGAGGTTAGTGTTGAGCTTTGAGGCTATTTCATCTTCTTGCCGAAAAATATAAAAGGCTGAGTGCTACTTCCGCACTGTGCTGCCCTCTCCCCCTCTCTCTCAGTGGGTCTCCACACCAGAGAAGATTTAAAGTGCGGGATAGTATTTCTTCTGATTCCAAGAAGATCTCTGATATCCTGCAAAGCCCTACAAGCCATTCAA